CTCTTCAGCGGATCAGGAATTCGACGTCCGACCCACACCGGTGGTGGCTATGTGTGCACTTCGTCCCATCCCTTCCGCGTGGCGACGGGCTCTACGACCCCAGGCGTGGAGTTTCCGGGGCAGCACGAGTAGTCCGATATGTCCACCACCTCCGTGCCCCTGCATGCTAGGGCCTCGGCGCGGCTGGCCGCTTGGAAGGCAATTGGAGCAGATGCGCGCACATTGCACGTCTTGAAGCATGGTGTCCCGGTGGAGTTTCGAGGTAACCGCCCCCCGCCTGCTTTTGACCTGCCAAGTTTTCCTGCTACAGACGAGCAGAGCCGTTGGTGGTTGGAGAAGGAGGAGCCTCGCCTGGTGGCGCTCGGGGCCATCTCGCGGGTAGACCCCTCCCGTGCGGTTGATCATGTGGTGAACGCCTTTTGTGTCCCGAAACCGGACAGTGGTTCTTGGCGTTTGGTCGTCAACCTGAAGAGGATGAACGTAGCGCAGAAAGCTTACAAGTGCCGGTATGAAACCCTCCGCACCCTGCGGCGTATGGGCCTCGAGGGCTCCTGGATGGTGAAGGTTGATTTGGCGGACGCCTTTTACCACATCCCTATTCGCCCAGATGATCGGCGTTTCTTCACTTTTCGTTTTTGTGGTGTTCTGTACGAGATGAACGCCCTGCCTATGGGGTGGCTAAATAGTCCGTATTGGTTTACGAAAATCATGCGCAATGTGGTGCGTTTTTGGCGGGATCCTTTGGCTGCGTCGGGTAAAGGTCGCAAGCGTCTCTCGCCCCCGCTCCCGCCCCACCAGTTTTTTCCCGTTTCCCGGACAGGGCGTCCTTCTCGTCCGGGTGCGCGAGTGCTGCCGTATTTGGATGACTTCCTCTTCGTGTTTAGTTCTGAGGAGCAAGCGCGTCTTGGTGCGCGCTGGGTGCGTGAGAGTATCGAGTTCTTGGGGTTGTCGTGTCACCCCACCAAGTGCCAGTGGGAGCCGTCGCAGTCAGTGTACCACTTAGGCATTACGATCAATACGGCAGCTGGTGTGTTTGAGGTGCCTAAGCAGAAGCTCGCCAAATTGCGGCGGCTGGCGATCGGGTTGCGGATCACGGCAAAGAAAAATCGGCGTCTTGTCCAGAAGCGTGAGCTGGCTAAGTTTTGTGGTTTTGCGCAGAGTGTCAAGTTGGCCCTTACCCCAGCGCCTTTATTTCTCCGCAATTTTTACGACGACATTAAGCAACCTGTTGGCTGGTCCGGTCGAGTTCGCTTGTCCCGTGGGTCGTTACGTGACTTAGATTGGTGGGCGGACATCCCTACCCACCAA